CCATCATCATCATCACCATCATCATTAATCTGCACGCTACAGAATCCACAAGCTCTGCCAACCTGTGGTGGTGGTTGGGTGGTGCTGGTGGTGGGGGGGACACGAGGGTGGGGGCTCAGCAGTAGTAGGTGGTGGTGGAGGGTCCCTAGGGGGACCTCTACCTTGCCCCCCACCCCCTCCAATCCTCACCCCGCCCCCCGGCGCCGTTTCCGCGGAGTCGCAATTAGAGCGCGGGGCGCGTCGCAGTTCAGCCGCGGCGACGCAGCCAGACAAAGACGGGGCTTGTTCCCAGCACTGAGGGGGGGCCCGGCCCCCCTCGGGACCCCCTCGGGACAACCCAGGACCTCGGAGCAGCCCCCCATCAAACCCTGTACCCTCCCTCCCGCATCACACCCCCCCCCCCGCACGAGACTGAAGATCGTGAGCGCGGGGGAGCAATGGGGATCTTCCACCTCTTCTCCCGCCATCCTCTTTCCCGTACCCCCCTTCTCCTTGACCCCCTACACACCGTACACCCCCCCCCCCACGTGCATATGACCCCCCCCTCGTGCGGACCCCGAGCAGCAAGGGGGTAACGCGGCGGGTAACGCGGCGGATAACGCGGGGGGGGGGGGGGGCTCAGTTGGACTGCCGACTGCGGGAGCGAGGCGCCTCGCCTCTCGGCCACCTCCTCGTGCTGCAATGCAACTTGCGTTCTGCTTGTTGCTGGTCGCTCGGCGTTTGGGGGCATTTGGGTTGGTGCTCAGCAACCGTGAATCCCGTTCAGGTCCAAATTACAGCCACATTCAAACCTCACCACATCCGTCAACAACACTGACAGAGGTCTTAAATAATATAATATCATATAATAGGTGGCGTTTCGGACAATGACCCTTCTTAATAGAACGCAGCTAACATCAACTGCAATATCAAATTGGTTCTTCCGCCCAGTGGCGTGAGCGGGCGGTGGCAGAGGGCAGCGCTGAGCATCGTGTCGGGGGGGTCTCTCGCGACAGCAGCCAGCGCTGCGGCTCCTCTCGCCACCCACACGGAGACACGCGGCGGCGGCGGCGGCTCCCCTCCTCCTCTTCCTCCTCCCCTCCCCGGGGCTCCGCTGACGTCACCGGAGTGCTTCAAACAACACCTTTGTCCCGCGGGATCGCGGTGGTGCTTTGAACACGAGGCGGGGGGGGGGGCTGGTGGGGTACAGGTGAGACGGGGTACCTGCATGCGGGACCCGCACACCTGTGGGCAGCCTCACCTGTGGCGCCCGAGGTCCTGCTTTGTTCCGGGGAAGACGACGGGGGCTGGTGGAGGGGAGGGGCTGTGGGGGAGATGGGCGGGGGCGCCCACGGTTCCCGTAGAGCAACATTAAAGAAGGTCGCCAAACGCAGCGATACGAGTCGACTCACACTCACGCCCGAGTCCACTCAAGACAAAGATCCCCGTGCCGGCTCGAACAGACCGCTGGGACAAGCACCACTAGAGACGAGCAGAGCACACGAGGGGTAGAGTGGCCAGCACCACGCTCGGCCGCCTTTGTCTCCCCACTGCTCGTGTTCACACACCACATTTAAGGCGGATACTCGTTCAAGGCTTAGTCCACCTAGGGGAGGCCCAGTACCGGTGTGGGCTGCGATCGAATTCAGGTCGCCGGCTTCATGCGCGACCCGCTGCCCCACGTTCTCCGCTCACGATATAGCCACTCCTAAAATATAGACATCCAAATACAACACGATGCACAATACACACCTCTAATTACATACACTTATACCAGGGGTCGGCAACCAAAATAACAAGAAGAGCCATTTCTTTCCAATTCGGTACAAAATTCAGTATTTCAAGAGCCGCAATGCATCTGAGTACATACTGTACATACGTACATATCGTCAAGAAGCAGCCCGTAAAGAGCCGCATGCGGCTCCGGAGCCGTAGGTTGCCGACCCCTGACTTATACCAATTAGACACGTCCACAACGTACTTATACTACACACCCCTGTATACCACACACACGTGTACACTACACGCAACCTACCCACACACGAACACTGCACACATGTACACAATGGATATACTTACACCAATCACACACAGGAACATCCTCCACCCCCCCCCCCCCCCCCGTTCATCCAGATGTGCGCACACCAGCACACACCCCAACACACCTGCGCACACACCCCAGCACACCTGCGCACACACTCAACTATACACACCAGCTCGCACACCTGGACGCAGCCCAGCACACATACCTCAAAAGACAAAGTTCCCCGTATAGCGAGCACCTATGACGGCCGGCACAACACATGAGGGGGTGTATGGCCTCGTACACCGAGGTACACGACAGCACATACCCCTACACACAACACACCTGTACACACACGCGCCTGTACACACACCTGTACACACACACCTGTACACACACCTGTACACACCTGTACACATACAAGCAAACACACACCTGTAAACACACACCTGTACACACCCTGTAAACACACCTGTACACACACCTGTACACACACACCTGTACACACACCTGTACACACCTGTACACACACACGTGTACACACACCTGTAAACACACACCTGTACACACCTGTGCACACACCTACACACACCCCTGTACACACACCTGTACACACATACCTGTACACACACACCTACACACACCTGTACACACACCTGTACACACAAACGTGCGCACACACGTGTGTGTGTGTACACGTGTACACGTACACGTGTACACGTACACGTGTACACACACACACACGTGTACACACACACACGTGTACACACACGTGTACGTACACACCTGTGCGCACACAGGTGTACACACACCTGTACACACAAAGACATATCCCCCGTGTAGCCTTAACAAACTGTTGGGGCAAGTGTTAGCGAGCACCTACGTAGTTACAGGTGTGTGTGTCTACAGGTGTATGAACAGATGTGTGTCTACAGGTGTATGAACAGATGTGTGTATAGGTGACTGTACACACACCTGTACACACCTGTACACACACACGTGTACACACACCTGTAAACACACACCTGTACACACCTGTGCACACACCTACACACACACCTGTACACACACCTGTACACACATACCTGTACACATACATGTACACACACCTGTGCACACACACCTACACACACCTGTACACACACCTGTACACACACACGTGTACACACACCTGTAAACACACCTGTACACACACACCTGTACACACACATAACAAAGATCCCCCATATAGCCTCAAAAGACTGTCAGGGCAAGTGCTGTTAGCGAGCACCTATGAAGGCCAGAACGGTACACGAGGGGATGGGTGGCCAGCACCACGCCCGACCGCCTTTGTTTCCCTAGTGGCGATGTTTACACACCGCACCAGGTACTCATTTGAGGCTGAGTCGACCTAGGGGAGGCCCGGGACCGGTTCAGATAATCGTCACCGATATTGGCCGTGAGCGGGAATCGAACCCGGGTCGTCGGGATTATAGCACACACACACACCTGTACACACACACCTACACACCTGTACACACACACCTGTACACACACCTCTACACACACACGTGTACACACACACACCTGTACACACACACCTGTACACAAACCTGTACACACATACGTGTACACACACACACCTGTAAACACACACCTGTACACACACCTCTACACACACACCTGTACACACACACGTGTACACACACACACCTGTAAACACACACCTGTACACACACCTCTACACACACGTGTACACACACACGTGTACACACACACGTGTACACACACACCTGTAAACACACCTGTAAACACACACCTGTAAGCACACATCTGTACACACACACGTGTACACACACACACACCTGTAAACACACACCTGTACACGCCCTGTACACAGCCCCCCTCCCACCCCATGTCGCGTGCGCCCGCTCCCCGCGGGAGCCGCCCTCGGAAGCGATGCTATCTCCAGGCGCGTCGCGCTTTGATGTGAGAGCGGCTACAGTAGCGAGATAAGGGCAGGGGAGGGGAGGACAAACTCCCCCCCTTCCACCCACCCACCCGGGGAATCAAGGGGCACGGAGCCAGACCCCCAGCCCCGGGTTCCAGACACCTCCGACTCCCCCACGAGAATCCGACTCCAGATGATAACGCACTCCAGACACCTCCCCGGTGTTCAGCTGTAAGCTACACCACTACAGCATGCCTGTAGGCTGTGACTCACCTGTGTTTACCTGTAGGGCACTGTAGCTGTAGGCTACACCATTACAGCATGCCTGTAGGCTGTGTCTCACCTGTGTTTACCTGTAGGGCACTGTAGCTGTAGGCTATACCACAACAGCATGCCTGTAGTCTGTGACTCACCTGTGTTTACCTGTAGGGCACTGTAGCTGTAGGCTATACCACTACAGCATGCCTGTAAGCTGACTCACCTGTGTTTACCTGTAGGGCACTGTAGCTGTAGGCTATACCACAACAGCATGCCTGTAGTCTGTGACTCACCTGTGTTTACCTGTAGGGCACTGTAGCTGTAGGCTACACCACAACAGCATGCCTGTAGTCTGTGACTCACCTGTGTTTACCTGTAGGGCACTGTAGCTGTAGGCTACACCACTACAGCATGCCTGTAGGCTGACTCACCTGTGTTTACCTGTCGGGCACTGTAGCTGTAGGCTATACCACTACAGAATGCCTGTAGGCTGTGTCTCACCTGTGTTTACCTGTAGGGCACTGTAGCTGTAGGCTACACCACTACAACATGCCTGTAGGCTGTGACTCACCTGTGTTTACCTGTAGGGTAGGCTATAGTACGTGAAGCTGTAGGCTATGGCACACCTGTGCACACCTGTGGCTGGCAAACCTGAGGCTCACCTGCGTGTTTACCCGTCTCGTCTGTTACACCGCGAGATCCTCTCGGGATAAGGAGCGGAGCGGACGCGTGGCCATGGACGCGCGAGTCGAAATCACTCCCAGGGCATCACCCCCTCCCCCCGCCCCCCCTGCCCCCGCCCCCCTACAGTGGCGCCGCGTCGCTCGTGACGAGCTCGTGACGCCCTCACTGGCGAGTCGCGTGCGTCTGCCGCCTGACAAAGACGCCCCGGATAGCCTGCAGAGACTGCTGGGGCAAGTGCTGTTAGCGAGCACCCATGACGGCCAACGCCACGCCCACCCACCTTTGTGGGAAGCGGTAGCGTCGGGGTTATCGCACTGCGCCACGAACCTCGCGAGCAGAGTTCCATTCCCGCTCACGGCCAAAACGAGACGATTACCTGAAACAGTCATGGGCCTGCCCTAGGTCAACTCCGCCTCAAATGCGTCTGCTACAAGGTGTGAACAACAACAACAGCAGCAGCAGCAGCAGCAGGCGACACGGCGGGGCATCTCTCACTTGCCCCAACTGCCTGTGCAGGCCACGAGGGCGGATCTTCCGTCTTTTGTATTTGGGGCCGTCCATAAATGACGTCACGCGATTTTGGACGATTTATTACCCCCCCCCCCTCGTCACACGGCGTCACAAAAAGTCAGACCCCCCCCCCTCAAATATGACGTCACAAAGCTCTGCCCCCCCTCCCCAAAAACATGCTTCAAATCGCTTTAAACTATTGTCATTGTAGTGCGTATTTAATGTGGCGCTGCACTCTGATGTAGGAGAAAACATTTATTAAAAATTATATTTAATTAAGTAGAACGTGTTGTCTATATTTATTTAAAGTTGCGCATTTTGATGTGACGTCACATTTCTCACCCCCCCCCCCCCCGCGTCACACATCGTCGCAAATGTCTGACCCCCCCCCCCCCCCAGGTGCGTGACGTCATTTATAGACGGCCCCTATGGCCGTGGATGTGAACACGTTTCCCACGCACAATGCGGGTTCGGCTCATGCGACCGAGTCGCTTAATGCGGTTTAAATCCCCTCCTCTGCGCGCACTGCGCGCGCCACTCGGCAGGCAGCCGTCGATTGCGGTTTCGCTTTGTGCGATATTGTTTGGAACGCCCCCACCCATTAGCGCACAAAGCGAGGACAGCCTGGAGATGCAGCGCTCCAGATGAGCGAGTGAATCCTTTACTCTGCGAGTGCGAATGGTTTTCTGGACGGTATTTGGCCAACTCTTCCACGCTGGCCAAACGTCTTGGGGTGGGGGCGGGGGGTGTCACCCACACTTGACCCCACCACCACCACACACGGACCTGCCAATCGACGGCGTTTATACAGCTGGGCGGACAGAGACGGAGGTGGGGGGGGATTGAAGATGTTCAGGAGCTCGACGCCAATGTGGAGGTCTGCTGTTGGTCACGACGAGAGGGCTTCAGCAGAGAGTTCGTGTCACCTTGTACACAACACTGTACACACCACTGTACACACAATTGACCTCTTGCGCTTGAATCCCAATACGATCATCGTCTCAACTTCCGCGCAGGGACGTGCAGTCGAACCGGCGACCTCTGGTGTGCAAGTCCAGCGGTGGCAGTAGCAGCAGCGTCTCCAGTCCCAGTCAATGAGGTCAATGAGGTCAATGAGGTCAATGAGGTCAATGCCCAACAGATTTATTCGCGGCAACGCGTGACGGTACACAGCGCTCGCTCCATCATGCATCAGTAGCCAAGCACTGTAACGGTTCAACCTTACTCTGACGATAAAAACACGCACACGGATGAATGAACTGAATAAAAGCACAAGTAATGCAATTGTAATACAGCGCAGTATCTTTAAGCCCCCAGGTTTAAGATGATCGCCGCCCTGCGCATTCACAAGGCGACCGCTCGAGGACGCCGAGGTGCACGTGGCAAGGGCACAGCGCCATGCACACGTCAGATACAGCTCCAATGTAACACGGAGGGGTTCGAGACCAATATCATTGATAATACATGTTTTTTGGGTTGGATCACGTAAATACAAGTGTCGTTAACCCAGCACAATTCGGGCAAAATCGACCGATGAAGCTGGTTGTAATCACCAGCGAAACCTCGGACTCGAATTGTAAATGTTGTGGGTTTACTCTCCAACACACAAGCGGTGTGCTGAAGTGGTCACGAATTGGCGCGTTCTGTTCACGTGACAGACCTCACTATTGGGCTGTCGGGTCGTGGTGGGTGAACGACACATTTATATTTACGCAATCTAACAAAAACTGTATTATAAATATATATATGCGAGTGTGTCATGTGTTTCCTGTGTGTGTGTAATGAGTTTGTTTTACCCTAAAACACCCAGTACTGTATGCAGATTATCCGCAGGCTGGCCGTGTGTGTGTATATATACGTGTGTGTCTGTGTGTGTGTGTATATATACGTGTGTGTCTGTGTGTGTGTGTATATATACGTGTGTGTCTGTGTGTGTATATACATACGTGTGTGTCTGTGTGTATATATATACGTGTGTGTATGTGTGTCTGCGTGTGTGTACAGAGACACTATACACTTTACATCCACGCAAACCCAATCACGACGCTCGAAAATTAATAAACAGACACGGCCCTGGCACAAAAACGATGACAACCACATCCAGAAGGGAGAGGGGGGGGGGCTCCTTCTGGGTTTGGGAGGGAAGGCAGGGCAACCTCCCGACCCTGAACCCTCGCCCCAGACCTGATTTTATAACATTGGTTCCTCCCCCGACTCCGGACCTCCACCCTCTTACACGGGAGAGCCTCGTTGAGTCTCAAGGAGGACGAGTGCGATACTGCTACACTGGGAGTGTTTGGTATATTCATCAGTCACAACCGGAGCGTCCGCACAGCGCCAGCTCAAACTCAACGAGCATTACACAGCAGCACGCACCATCTCAACACCCCCATTGGCAGCCCCCCTCCCTGTGTGGGACAAGGCGACTACAACACAAACTACTTGGTGATACTGCAATCCATCTCGATGGCCTCCCTGGGTTATGAAGAAGGGTCATTGCCTGAAACGTCGCCCGTATAGATTTTCCTTATAAGGCCACGGTGTTATTGGCGAACGAGTCGAGGTTTTTCCGCTAAGGGCGTTTGGCTCCACGTTGGAAGAAACCGGGGAACCCAGAGAAAACCCACAAATACAATAACACGGCCGCTTTACGCTCTACACAGATGGATTTAAGAATCCATTATATACACTGCAGCAACGGACGATTGATTCTTGAACCACTGTGACCCTAATCCCAACCCTGACCCCGGCTCTAACCCTAGCCCTGGGGTGGGGGCAGCAGGTGGAGGGGGGGCAGGTAGGCAAAGTGGTTTCTTGTTCAAATGAGCATTGAGATACTGGTGCTCACCTCGACATTCCACACTAACATGGCCGGGGCTAATATGTCCACGTGATAGCCACTGTCGATTCGCCAGTGTTGACCGACTGGATCAAAAATCGAGGTAACTCCCTCCATACCCCCCTGCACCCCCCCCCCCCCCCCATCATTCGGCCACAATGTTCTTTTTGTTTAGGATCTTCATGAGCCCTTTGGACATGAAGTATGGCTTCTCCACCGAGCCATCGTTCTTCTCCAGGTCTTCCACTGCGGGAGGGACACGGACACGTGAGGGGTGGGTGGGGCCTTGGCTGGAGTTGAGTGCCACCCAGAGGAGTAGGGGGGGGGGGTCCCCGAGCTCGGGGAGTCTGGGGGGCCGGTGGGCATTGAGCTGGAGGGTGACAGATCGGCGGGGCCCAATAAGGCAACGGGCCCCATAAGGCAGTGCACCCCGTAGGGATAGTGACCCCCTAGCCAGAGCACGGTGGACCCCGTAGGGATGGTGACCCCCTAACCAGAGAACGGTGGACCCCGTAGGGATGGTGACCCCCTAGCCAGAGAACGGTGGACCCAGTAGGGATGGTGACCCCCTAACCAGAGCACGGTGGACCCCGTAGGGATGGTGGGGGCCTTTATTCAGAGGGACGGGAGAGCCCGAAGGGGCCCAGAGGAACGGGGGCCCCAGAGGGAGGGGTCCCTCAGTCGGAGGACTCCTGGGCGAGCGTGGCCCCCGGCTTCCCCAGCAGCTGCAGGAGGCCGGGGGACATGAGGTAGGGGCGCTCCAGAGAGCCGTCGTTCCGCTCCAGGTCCTCGCCTGGGGCGGTGGTGGTGGGGTGGTGGTGATGGGTGGGTGAAGGTTGGGTGATGAAGGTGGCGATGGAGGTTGGCGATGTGGGGTATTGATGGGGAGGTGGTGATGGGGAGGTGGTGATGGGGAGGTGGTGATGGGGAGGTGGTGATGGGGAGGTGGTGATGGGGAGGTGGTGATGGGGAGGTGGTGATGGGGAGGTGGTGATGGGGAGGTGGTGATGGGGAGGTGGTGATGGGGACGTGGTGATGGGGACGTGGTGATGGGGACGTGGTGATGGGGACGTGGTGATGGGGACGTGGTGATGGGGAGGTGGTGATGGGGAGGTGGTGATGGGAGCGTGTGTGCTTAACGGAAATATGAAAGTTGCCAATCACGCAGGACAGATGGAAATGAAGGAGAAGGTAGAGGAGGAGGAGGAGGCGGAGGAGGAGGAGGCGGAGGAGGAGGCGGAGGAGGAGGAGGCGGAGGAGGAGGCGGAGGAGGAGGCGGAGGAGGGAGGAGAAGGGAGAAGAGAGGAGGAGCACCTCAGTTAGACCACAATCACCGTCCGCAGCAGCATGAACCCCATCAGATAAACACCATCAGCAGAAGGGTCACAGAGGAGTGGAGATCACATGGGTACAAAACACAGGCAAATGCATCATCTCCCAATGGCTATCCACTGCTGGATGAAGGCCTCCTCACACCACCAGCCAGTGCTACAACTAACCATCTGTCCCTCTATACCAACGATACTCAGCCACACGGCCGTCCTTCTGAGAGTCGATCTCATCGGCACGATTGGCTACGTACGGTGCGAAAGAAGTTCAACATCCGCAGCATTGGTTCAAGCAAACTCTGGGAGGGGTTTCGTCACGCGGTGTCTCGCACGGCGTTGCTTCCTTCACCAACCTACAATGAGCGGAGTGAAGCATGGTCAGCAAACCCCCAGGAGAGAGATGTCGATTGAGAGAAGACGAAAGGAAGAAAAGATGGAAGCTCAAGAAATCCAGGACGCGCGTTTGTGCATGCGTATCCGAGTGTGTGCGCGCGTTGGCACGCGTGTGAGTGCGCGCCTGAACGAGCGCGCCGTGTACTCACAGAAGCACAGGAAGAGCGTGTCCACACACATGCTGTAGACGCTGAAGAAGCCGTGGGCTACCATGTAGGAGCCCACCACCACCGTCTGGGTGGAAACACACACACACACACACGCGGACGTGACACGGACACACACGCGGACGTGACACGGATACACACCCACAAAGACCCCCCCCCCGTCTCGCCTTAACAGGCTGTTGGGGCAAGTGCTGTTAGTGAGCACCAACGCGGACCAATGCGGACCAACACGGCGCCCGAGGGGGTGGGTGGCCACGCACAGCCACCTGTCTGCCCAGCGGCACGACCGGCAAACGCGCCGCCTCAATGAGTCGTAGTCGTCCGGCGCTCCGCTCGTTGTCGCGAGCGTCGCTCCTCCGCCCCCCACTATCGTTGCAGGGCGACTGCCTCTAACCGCCCAGTGAGCCTCACGGCGCGTCTAGCCCGGCGCTGCCCAGGACACGGATACACCGACACGCACGTCCATTTCTGACGCACCCACCCAGAATCAAGAGAGGGGAGAGGCACTGGACCCCACCCCCACCGTTGGCCCCCTGACTGACGCACGTGACCCCCTTCCCCTCTGACGCTGCCCCTCCACGTGCCCCCTCAGCCCCTGCTCCTCACCAGGATGGGCACCCAGTAGTAGTTGAGCACCGGGTGAGTCGGGATGAAGGAGATGCGGCCGGAGAAGAAGAAGAACGCCAGCACGCCTGCCACACGTGGGGCGAGGGATGGGGGGGGGGGTGTTGTGACGGGGTGTTGTGACGGGGTGTTGTGACGGGGTGTTGTGACGGGGTGTTGTGACGGGGTGTTGTGACGGGGTGTTGTGACGGGGTGTTGTGACGGGGTGTTGGTGTTGTGTCTCACCCACTGCTCCAACCACCAGCAGCTTCCCCATCATCAGAAGAAAATCTGTCACCTTGTCTAGCACCACCACTCTGCAAGACATCATCATTACCACCACCATCATTATCACCACCGTCATCACCACCGTCATCACCATCATCAACACCACCATTATCATCACCATCATCATCATTCACCACCATGATTACTATCATCTTCACCATCGTCAAGGCCACCATTATCACCACCATTATCATCACCATCATCATCGTTCACCACCATGATTACTATCATCTTCACCATCGTCAAGGCCCCACCAAGGCCCAAGAGAACCCACTGGGATCCCACAGAGGCCCCAGTGAGACTCACGTGACCCTGTCATGACCCCAGTGAGACTCAAAGAACCCGAGTGGGACCTATAGGACCTACAGGGCCCCATAGGAAGCACGGCTGGATGAACAGCGAGACTCGTGGGATCTCGGAGTAGGACCCCAGTGGGCCCCCGGCGGGCCCCCTCACCGCACGATGTTTCGCATGAGCAGGAAGAAGGCGTTCTTGGCCGAGACGCAGAAATTCTTCCCATAGATGGCGACCTGGGTCACACACGGGGTGGACACGCGGGGTGGATCATTGTGAGTGGGGGGGTGACAGTGTGTGAAGGTGGACATGATGATAGTGGTGGACAGAAGTAGTGGTGGATGGTGGAAGTGGTGGGCGTGAGGAGGTGGTGTGAAGGTTGGTAGTCATGTGTGGTGGAAGTGGTTGTGGTGGACGTGGTTGTGGTGGTTGTGGTGGATGTGGTGGTGGTGGTGGTTGTGGTGGTGGTGGTGGTCACCATGATGTAGGCATTGCGGTTAAGAAACTTTATGAACTTCTCCAGACACCAGAAGCAGCACTTGAGGCAGCACATCACGAACCGGGCGCACTTGTTCTCCGACACTACTCGAGACACGCAGAGACACAGAGACACGCAGAGACACAGAGACACGCAGAGACACGTGGTTACACAGAGACACGCAGAAACACGTGGTTACACAGAAACACGCGGAGACACGCGGAGATACACACACAGAGACATGACGAGATACACAGAGTAAGAGTTTGAATGAGTGTGTGAGTTTGTATGTGAGCGAGTGTGTAAGTGTGTATTTGAAAAAGCAAGTGTGTGTGTCAGTGAGTGTGTGTGCGAGTGTTGCTGAGTGTGCAAGTGTTGGCGAGTGAGCGCGTGAGTGAGCGCGTGAGCGAGCGCGTGAGTGAGCGCGTGAGTGAGCGCGTGAGCGAGCGCGTGAGCGAGCGCGTGAGCGAGCGCGTGAGCGAGCGCGTGAGCGAGCGCGTGAGTGAGCGCGTGAGTGAGTGAGCGCGTGAGTGAGCGCGTGAGTGAGCGCGTGAGCGAGCGCGTGAGCGAGCGCGTGAGCGAGCGCGTGAGCGAGCGCGTGAGCGAGCCCGTGAGCGAGCGCGTGAGCGAGCGCATGAGCGAGCGCGCGAGCGAGCGCGCGAGCGAGCGCGCGAGTGAGCGCGTGAGTGAGCGCGTGAGTGAGCGCGCGAGTGAGCGAGCGCGTGAGTGAGCTCACCTCTGAGCTTGTGGTCGATGTACTCCAGCATGACGCGGATGAGTTGGACGATGGCGAGGATGAGCGATCCGAATGCCAGCGAACCCGTGTGGTACCTACATCACCATCACCGGCAACACCGCCACGGTCGCTGCCAACATTACCACCAGCACTACCACCACTGCCATCACACTCGTGCTGTACGCGCGGAACACGGCCAAGCCGGCTCGGCTCGAGTACACGGCACTGCCACGAGCAGTACGCTCGTGGCACTCGCTCTCACCGCAGCGTGCGTCCGAAGGAGGAGAAGACGGGGCAGGGGGGGATGTCTCCGGGCTTGCTGGGGGCCCAGTAGTAGGAGGCGAAGGCCCCCGCCAGGGTGCAGTGGCCCAGCGCGATCACGAAGTTCATGGCCCAGAAGAACGCAAATACATTATACACCTGGGGGGGGGGGGGAGGGGGGGGTCATCACCAGTGATAGCATGACAGGTGACACCATTATCATGATGCTCAATACAATCATCATCATGATTTTAAGCATTATCACCATGCTGTAATCATGTCAAACTATCATCACCCCCACCATCATCACCAATCTCTCCATCATCATCTATATATATAAAATCGCGAATCTGTCTGTCTGTCTGTGGGTCGCCGGACCATACGCAGTTTCATTGGACGGCGGTTGCCCCTGGCAACGGGTAGCGACGCCTTCGCTGCTTTCATTGGACGGCGGTTGCCCCTGCCAACGGGTAGCGACGCCTTCGCCGCTTTCATTGGACGGCGGTTGCCCCTGCCAACGGGTAGCGACGCCTTCGCCGCGGGGTGGACGCCATTTTTAATTCCCGTTAAAAATAAGCGCACGCATTAACACGTGACTCTGAGGTAAATTCATCAAAGTTTCACGTCCTCTTCACTCCCCCCCCACCACAATGTGTGCAATTACTATTATAGGGTCGGTAGATTATAAAATTATAGCGATTAGACAGTATTATTGTAGCGCGGGGGGGGGGGGGGGGGGGAACGCCACCCGTACCCAGCCTCAGCCGGGTGGGCAATTTAGGCGAGGCCGGAGGCTCTGCACGGTGCTAGGCCTCGACACCCACCACGCGACTCTGAGGTAAATTCATCGAAGTTTCACGTCCTCTACAGAGTGGTGAGGGAGGGAGAGTGGTGAGGGAGGGAGAGTGGTGAGGGAGGGAGAGTGGTGAGGGAGGGAGAGTGGTGAGGGAGGGAGAGTGGTGAGGGAGGGAGAGTGGTGAGGGAGGGACTCAGCCTCAAAACGAGTAACTGGTGTGGCGTATTAACATCGCCACTGGGGAGACAAAGGCGGCCGGGCGTGGTGGATACAAGTCCCGGGCGAAGCCGGGTAGTACAGCTAGTCATCGTTATTTTCACTATCACCATCACTGGCATCACATCACCACATCACCACCACCATTATTAAAAGCCACTACGTAATCACCACCACCACGTCGCCATCTCGCCGAGCAGCACCTGCAGATTGAAGATGTTGCGGTGGTAGAGGTCCTCTCCGCCGAAGCTGGTGAAGATGCAGCTGGCGCTGGGACAAGCGGCGAAGGCGGCCGAGATGTTGAACGTCTGTGCCGAGACAGAGAGACGCCGCGGGCGTGACGCGCCACTCGCACGCTGCACCCGGAACGCAGCAGAGCGGCGTGGAGCTCCAGCGCCCTCTGGTGGTCACCCCGTGGCCCAGCCCCGTCTATCCCAGCCCCGTCTCTCCCAGCCCCGTCTCTCCCAGCCCCGTCTCTCCCAGCCCCGTCTCTCCCAGCCCCGTCTCTCCCAGCCCCGTCTCTCCCAGCCCCGTCTCTCCCAGCCCCGTCTCTCCCAGCCCCGTCTCTCCCAGCCCCGTCTCTCCCAGCCCCGTCTCTCCCAGCCCCGTCTCCCCCAGCTCCGTCTCCCCCAGCCCCCGTCTCCCCCAGCCCCCGTCTCTCCCAGCCCCGTCTCTCCCAGCCCCGTCTCCCCCAGCTCCGTCTCCCCCAGCCCCGGTCTCTCCCAGCCCCGTCTCTCCCAGCCCCCGTCTCTCCCAGCCCCCGTCTCTCCCAGCCCCGTCTCTCCCAGCCCCCGTCTCTCCCAGCCCCCGTCTCTCCCAGCCCCCGTCTCTCCCAGCCCCCGTCTCTCCCAGCCCCCGTCTCCCCCAGCCCCCGTCTCCCCCAGCCCCCGTCTCTTCCAGCCCCCGTCTCCCCCAGCCCCGTCTCTCCCAGCCCCGTCTCTCCCAGCCCCGTCTCTCCCAGCCCCGTCTCCCCCAGCCCCGTCTCCCCCAGCCCCGGTCTCTCCCAGCCCCGTCTCTCCCAGCCCCCGTCTCTCCCAGCCCCGTCTCTCCCCGCCCCCGTCTCTCCCAGCCCCCGTCTCCCCCCGCCCCCGTCTCTCCCAGCCCCGTCTCCCCCAGCCCCCGTCTCTCCCAGCCCCCGTCTCTCTCTCCCAGCCCCCGCCTCTCCCAGCCCCCGTCTCTCTCTCCCAGCCCCCGCCTCTCCCAGCCCCCATCTCCCCCAGCTCCGTCTCCCCCAGCCCCCGTCTCTCTCAGCCCCCGTTTCTCCCAGCCCCCGTCTCTCCCAGCCCCCGTCTCCCCCAGCCCCCGTCTCTTCCAGCCCCCGTCTCCCCCAGCCCCGTCTCTCCCAGCCCCCGTCTCTCCCAGCCCCCGTCTCTCCCAGCCCCGTCTCTCCCAGCCCCCGTATCCCCAGGGCCCGTACCTCTGGGGAGCAGTGGGTCCCGTTGAGGGAGGCGCAGGCTTCTCCGCTGCTGTTGGGCCCCCCCGGCACCACCGCCTTGTACACGGCCACACCCGACGTGGCCAGGTAGCTGAGCGCGCGGGGTCAAGGGTCACACCGCGTGGATGCATAGCGGCGGCAGCAGCAAGTTGGTGGTGGTAGCCGAGGAAGGGAAGATGTAGAGAAGGTGGATGAGCTTGAAGAGGTGGTGAGGATAAGAGCTGGATGACGACGTTGATGAGACGCATGACGAAGTGGCCGATGAGGTGCATGATGACGAGGTAGAGGATACAGAGATGTGATGGCCCAGTAGCTGATGACGACGGCAAGCAGCACGAACGTGACGATGGGGAAGAGGAGCGACGACATCATGTGGCCAATCGCCCTGGGGGAGACACGGGGGTGTGGAGGGGGGGGCGCAGACATTGGGGATAAATATCTGAACCAGTCCTGGGCCTCCCCTAGGTCGACTCAGCCTTAAACGAGCACCTCGCGCGGCGTGTAAACATTGCGACCCCCCCCCCCCTTGTGTGCGGTGCCGGCCTTCAAAGGTGCTACTCGCGAACGGCACTTGCGCGTGCGAGTCTGTCAAGGCTACACGGGGGACGTTCGTCTTTGTTAGCGAGTCCTACTTGCTGCTCTCCTTGATGAGGGCTATGGCGATGAGGATCCTCTTCCTGAGGAACACCACCAGGAGCAGGATCACCACCTCCAGGATGCACAGCAGGATCACTGAGGGACACGGGGGGGGGGTGTACACGTGATGAGGTGGACACAGGTGCACCGTGTGTACAGGTGTCTGGTGTGTACACAGTTCAGCAACAACGTAGTTGAGTACACAGGTAAGGGGGGGGCAGGTGAGGGGGGTGAAGGTGAGGGGGGGCAGGTGAGGGGGGTGAAGGTGAGGGGGGGGCAGGTGAGTGCGGGGCTCACTGATGGCCAGCCAGGTGTCCCGCACTTGCAAGTAGACCCGCAGGTCGGTCTGGAATCCGAGGTCTGTGATCTTGTTATCCGCCCCAGGTCTCCCCTTCAGGTTCACACTGTACTCCCAGTAGCAGTGGTAGATGCCTGGTGGGGGGAGGGGGGACACGGGGGGGGTGGTTATGGGGAGGGGGGACACGGGGGGCATATGGAGGGTAGACACGGGCAAGACGCGGGGTGGGTGGTGGGGGGGGACGCGACGGGTACCGTATCCGACGATGGCGACGAGGGCGACGAGCATGACCCAGACGATGACTCCGGCCAGGAAGCGAAGCAGCACGAGGAAGAGCAGACTGAGCAGCAGCGCGATGCCCAGACCGCTGCACAAACACCACAAAGATCCCCCAGGGAGCTTTAACAGACTGCTTGGGAAAGTGCAATTAGCGAGCACCTACAAAGGCCGGCACGGCACACGATGCGGTGGCGTGGACAAAGCCCGTCTCGCCCGAGTGCCGATGTTGGCACGCCGCACCAGGTGCTCGTGCGAGGCTGAGATGACCCAGCGGCAGGCTCAGGACAGATTCGGATAATCGTCGTCACCGATGTTGGCCTCGAGCGAGGACCGGTGCACCACCGCTCACTCTTGAACAAGAAAAAAAGATCCCCCTATAGCCTTGAACGGAGCATCTATGAAGTAATTATTTGAGGCTGGGTCGACCTAGAGGAAGGCCCAGGACCGGTTCAGATAATCGTCACTGGGGTTGGCTGTGAGCAGGAATCGAACCTGGTACGCCAGGTTCATAGCCCAGCACGCTAACCGCTACACCACCGCTCCCCATTACACGCCCGCATGGACACGCACACACGGCAATGTATACACACCAACGTGTACACAATAATCCATACACACCCAAACATAGAAACCGCGATGTGCAATACAGCAATGAGTGCCTGCCAATGTTCACACCCCGACACGCGCCCACTCATGGTTGGCCGCGTACGGTGCAAAAGAAGTTCAAGATACGTACGTACATTAGTTCATTGCGACGGGTTACCGTGGAAAGCCTCACCGAGTCTCAAGACTGCTTTTCAGGAGTGTCCTGTCAAGATATTGCTGCGGTGTGCAATACGAATTTGAGTAATTTGCAGTGAACTTTTAGCACTGGGATGCGGTTTGGCCAATGCCAGTTCCACTGTGTGTGTGGGCTCAGCTATGGTAGGAAGTCGGAGACCCCGGAGGAAAGCCACGCGGAACAGGGGGCGAGAATTCAAACTCTACGCAGAAAGACACCCTAGTCGGGAGTCGAACCCAGGAATTTCTTGCTATGAGGCACGAGTGTCATCACCCTGCCACCAAATGGGTAAGGGAGTGGAGTGAGAGGGTGGCTGAGTCGGTGGGTGAGTGAGTGGGTGGGTGGGTGAATGGGTGGCTGAGTTGGTGGGTGGGTGAATGGGTGGGTGGGTGGGTGGCTGAGTTGGTGGGTGGGTGAATGGGTGGGTGAATGGGTGGGTGGGTGGGTGAATGGGTGGGTGGGTGAGTGGGTGGGTGGGTGAATGGGTGGCTGAGTTGGTGGGTGGGTGAATGGGTGGGTGGGTGAGTCGGTGGGTGGGTGAGTCGGTGGGTGGGTGAATGGGTGGCTGAGTTGGTGGGTGGGCGAGTGGGTGAGTGGGGAGGTAGGTGAGTGGGTATGTGAGTGAGTGAGTCGGCGAGTCGGTGAGTGTTCGGGTGAGTGGGTAGGTGAGGAGGAGGGCTCCGTGGACTCACATGAGGATCCAGTACCAGGATCGCGCAAAATCCTCAAATACTTTCATGCCCACCTGACGCGCGTCCATGAACTTAGAGATCCCCCTGAGGGGGGGGGAGTAGGGTGGGGGGCACGAAAGAGTGAGGCAGCATTACACCCCAGCCCCCCAGTCCACTCACTCACTGCTCTCACACACACACAGAGCCTACAACACACACACCCTCCACACACCCTACACACACACACCCTACAACACACACACACCCTACACATAGAACAACCCCCTACACACACACACCCTAATCATAGAACAACCCCCTACACACACACCCTACACACACCCTACACACACAAACACCAATCGAAGGGATACCTGACCGTCTCCCCCCAAAGAGAAAACCACACAATCAACTTGGGAGGGGGGGGGGGACAGGGCAGGTTCAGAGAATCGTCGCTAGTGTTGGACGTGAGCGGGAATAGAACTCGGATCTCCGAGTTCGTAGCGCAGAACACTAACCACGACCCTGCTGTCCCCAGCCTCTCACGCGGACACGCAGACCCCCCCCGCCCCCCCCCCCGCTCCCCCCCCACGCCCCCTGCGCCCCCTGTGCCCCCCACGCCCCCCGCGCCCCCGCGCCACGTACTTGGCCCCCTTCTGGATGTCGGTGGCGTTGAGCAGCTGTCCGTTGCCGTAGTTGATGGAGCGGTTGCCGGCGACGCTCACCTCGCTGCGCTCCGTCACGAGGCGCGGGAAGCAGCGGCCCTGGACTGGTGAGCGGGGAGCAGCAGCAGCAGCACACGTGGTGAGCGGGGGGCGGTGAGCGGGGGGCGGTGAGCGGGGGGCGGTGAGAGGGGAGCGGTGAGCGGGGAGCGGTGAGCGAGGGGCGGCGAGCGGGGGGCGGTGAGAGCGGAGTGGTGAGCGGGGAGTGGTGAGCAGGGAGTGGTGAGTGGGGGGGTGATGGGGGGGACGAGTGTCGCTGTTTTCTTAGGTCGTGATGGTTATTTATGAGTGTAGATGAGTGGTGTTCACGAGTGTTGGTGAGTATTGGTGAGTGTTGTGAGTGTGGTGAGTGTGGTGAATGTTGGTGAGTGTTGTGAGTGTTGCGAGTGTTGGTGAGTGTTGCGAGTGTTGGTGAGTGTTGTGAGTGTTGGTCACTCACAGGGCTGGCTCGGGAAGATGATGGACGGGCACTGCCTTTTGGCCAGGATGTCAGCGGGGCTCAGTGCCTACAACCACAACCACAGCCACAACCACAACCATAGCTACAGCTACAACCACAGTCACAACCACAGCCTCAGTAGTGAGACAGTCACAACCACAACCATAGCTACAGCTACAACCACAGTCACAACCACAGCCTCAGTAGTGAGACAGTCACAACCACAGCCTCAGTAGTGAGACACAACGTGAGCACGCCCCCCGCCCCCTGCCCCCCGCCCGCGCCCTGGTCCCCCACCTGCCCCACGGTGAAGCCCGGCACACAGAACTCGGCGTAGCTGCTCATGCCGCCGGGGGTGGCGACGGCGGCGAGGAGGCTGTCAAACTTCTCCGGGCAGCGCTTCACACAGATCTGGGGGGGGGGGGGGGGGGGAGGTTGAGGCGTTACAAATGTAAAACATCACCAACGCCGCTTCCGTGCGAGTGGGTGAGAGGCGCTGACAGCACTTGCCCCGACAATCTGTTAAGGCTATACGGGGGATTATTTTCGTCTCGTCTTTGTCTCGTGTGGGCACCTGTGTGGTGAGGCACTGCAGGTTGAGCAGGGTGGCGGGGCTGGCGCATTTCAGTATGTCGAAGTAAAACAGGTACGGCTTCTCCCTGCGACACACGTGCGCGCAAACACACACACACACGCACGCGCAGATAACGCACACACGTGCGCACAAGACGCACGCAACATTCCGTTGGCACGCCGTGTCCAGACGGAGCACGTGGGGTCACACGGGGTCACGCGGGGTCACGCCGACCCTCTAAGATCCCCTCGCGAGTGTCGCGTTGGGCCACGCTTGGGTCGACGCAGTTTCAAGCGAACTTCGTCGTAGATCTACTTGATAAATGCAGCGCGGTAAAAGCTCGGGACAGATGAATTTGTTTGGCTATCGGGTGATGGAGGATCACGACCACACAACTTGGCCAAATCGTGACGCGGGCTAACCTACACGCCAACCACGAACCAGCGGTCTCCACGCTGCGACGAGGCGCTCGGAGCGGGGCCACCGCCCCCCCTGCCCCCTCTTACCAGAGGCCCCCCCCCCCCAGACAAATTTGGGGAGTGCCCTCCTTCGTACGTACGCGTTGGGGGAGCCCGGCTGTCCGCAGAAGTGGCCGTAGCTGTCGACGGGATGTATGACCTGGCGCGGGTCTCCATGCACCCATGCTGCCGAGACACAAAGATCCCCCGTGGAGCAGTGAACAGACAACTGCTGGGGCAGGTGCTGTTAGCGAGCACCTGTGAAGACCGGCATGGCACACAATGGCGTGTGTAGCAGCACCACGCCTGGCCGCCTTTGTCTCCCCAGTGCTGATATTTATACCCATTCAAGGCCGAGTCGGTCCTGGGGACGCAGACCACGATACCACTGCTTCCTCCAGTTGTGCAGAGCGAGCGAGGGTGGGTGAGAGTGGTCTTTGCTTGTGTGTGGAGTCTGTGTGTTCTGCATGAGTTTCCTCCTCTGAGTTCTCCAGTTTCCTCCCATAGCTAAACAAACACAGAGTCAGAGTGGATATTGTGCCAAACCTCCCGGTGTTGAAACTTCCCTGAAAATCACTCGGCAACATCGCTCCCTACTGTGAAAACTTGGCAAACCCCTCTTGAAAATGAGTCTTGAGACTCAGTGAGCTTTACCTGGCTAAATAAATAAATAAATAATGAGGTATTTTATCACGTGAATACGCGCATGAACAATCTTATTGACACAGCAATGAGTAGGGCCGTCCATACTCACACCAGCATCTCCCCCTCCCCTCCCCTTTCCCTCTCTTCCCCCTCCCCTCCCCTCCCCCTCCCCTCCCCCTCCCTCTCCCCTCCCCTCCCCCTCTCCATCGTCGTCTCACCAACGATCCCCACGGCGACGTAGCCCAGGATGAAGAGAGAGAAGAGTATGCAGCAGACGATGTCGGTGCAGCTCCTGATGAGACGCACACACGCACACGCTCGTTAACATGTGTACATATATACAGCGCCACGCCCGGTCGCCTTTGTCTCCCGAGTGGCGATGTTTACATTTGAGGCTTAGTCGACCTAGGAGAGGCCCAGGACTGGTATTGGCCATGACTTGGGTTCGTAGCACAGTGCGCTAACCACTGCACAGCCCGCTACACTCCCGCACACACCCACACACACACACCCATACACACACACACCCACACACCCACATACACACCCACACACACACCCACACACACCCACACACACACACCCACACACACCCACACACACACACCCACACCCCACACACCCACACACACACACCCACACACACCCACATCCACACACCACACACCCACACACACACACCCACACACACCCACACACACCACACACACCCACACACCACACACACCCACACACCACACACACCCACACACCCACACACACACACGTGCTTCCTTCCTTCAGGTACATCTCCCAGAACCATATTAGGGGTCCCCCCCCCGACTTCTCCCCCCCACCGACTCCAGATCTCGCCCCACCCCCCAGGTGGGGACTCACCGTTTCACCACGGGTCCCCTGAAGTTGGGGTCATGCTTGTTCGGTTGTCCTGAAGAACACAGACACACACACAGACACACAGAGTTACACACAGACAAAGTTACACACAGAGAGAGAGTTACACACAGACACACACAGACAGACACACACACAGAGACACACACAGACACACAGACAAAGACACACACACAAACACAGACACACACACAGACACAGAGACGCACACAGACACACACACGGAGACACACACAGACACACACACACAGACACACACAGAGACACACACAGACACAGAGTTAGACACAGACACACACAGAGACACACAAAGAGTTACACACAGACACAGACACACACACAGAGACACACACAGACACAGAGACACACAGAGACAGACACACACAGACACAGAGACACAGAGAGACACACACACACAGACACAGGGACACACACAGACACAGAGACACAGGGACACACACAGACACAGAGACACACACAGACACAGAGACACACAGACACACAGACAGACACAGAGACACACACAGACAGACACAGAGACACACACACAGACACAGAGACACACACAGACACAGAGACACACACAGACACAGAGACACACACACAGACACACACAGAGACACAGAGACACACACAGACACAGAGACACACACAGAGATGCACAAACAACACGCGCTGACACAGATACCAGACCCGTGTGGGCGAGAGGGTGGATGTATGAGTGAGTGATACAGGGGAGTGAGCAAGTGAGTTTGTGGGTGAGTTAGTGAGGAAGAGATTTGGTGAGTCAGCAGGGGAGTAAACGAATGTGCAATTTAGTTATGGAGTGGGTGAATAACTGGGTGGGCGAGTGAGTAGTTATGGAGTGGGTGAAGAAGTGGGTGGGCGAGTGAGTAGTTATGGAGCGGGTGAAGAAGTGGGTGGGGGTGAGTTAGTGAGCGATCAAATGACAGAGTGACAATCGTGAAGCAGACAAGACGGCTCTTTCACATATCCGTCTTTCCACATGAAACTCGTAAGTATTTTTTACACGTTAAATCAGCCACACACGACCTTCTGGGAATACATAATTTCAGCAGCATTGATTCAAACATGCAAACTCTGGACGGGTTTCGACAGTGTCTCATCATCAGTCAGACTTGCTTGAGCAAGTGCTGGTCAACTGCCAGCAGTTATAGACAAGGACCCTCTCTTTGAGATGTGGAGTGGGTGAGTTAGTGAGTGAGTGTTTGTAGAACTTCTTTCGCACCGTATGTAGCAAACGGTGCTAACGCTGCGCTACGAACCCGGCAACCCGAGTTCGATTCCCGCTCACGGCCAACACAAGTGACAATTATCTGAACCGGTCCTGGGCCTCCCCTAGGTCGACTCAACCTAAAATGAGTACTTGGTGCGGTGTGTAAACATGGCCACGAGTGAGACAAAGGCGGTTGGGCGTGGTGCTGGCCACCCACCCTCTCGGTGCCTAACCGGCCTTCACAGGTGCTCGCTAACAGCACTTGCCCCAAGTCTGTTAAGGCTACACGGGTGATCTTTGTCTTCGGAGTTGGTAAGTAGGTTTGTGTGCGAGTTAGTGACGAAGTGATTCAGTGGATGGGCGAGTGAGTGGATGGGTGTGAATGCGAGTCAGCTGATAGGTGGGTGGTGAGTGGGTGTCTGTGATTGTAACGGCGTCTGCTGGAATGGATTGTTGGCCCGAGTGCAGTGCTCGGCACAGGCCTCCTCATTGTGCACAGAGTGCCCCGCCTGGCCTCAACTCGCCACAGGCCTCATTGTGCACAGAGTGCCCAGCCTGGTCTCAACTCGGCACGCCACATTCCGGCGGGACACACCTCGCGATGGCGACCAATCACGCCTGGCGACTAGCCACAGCTCGAGCGCACGTACGTGCCCACCTCCTAGAGCCTACCCGGAGAGTACACACTCACCCCGCACACCACATCCAGTATAGCTCTCGCTACACCAATAGCAGTGGACACTCCTTTCTCTCCACGCATCGCTTGACACACACCCATCGCCAGATCACAGTCCCAACACGCGTTTGTGTCGCGTGCAGACAGCGGCGGGCACGTGCAAGCAAACCGCGTGTGTGCGTGAGTGTGTGCGTGAGTGTGCGCGTGTGTGTGCGTGTGCGCGCGTGTGTGGGTGCGTGTGCGTCTAGTGTGTGTGTGCGCGTGTACGCGTGCGTGTGTGGGAGGTGGCTCCAGTTAACAGCAGAGGTCTCACTCCGAATCAGTCGAGCGGCAATATCTTGTCATCGGTTGCGTAACGCAGTGTGGAAGCTACCTGGTCTGTCGCTCCGCACGAAGCTTCGTGGACCCCCCTAATTGAGCATCTTCGCCGTTTGGAAACATTTAGGCTGGCCTGCCTACGATCCATCCTGGGTTTAACCAGGCTGGATTGTGTGAGGAGCTCACAAATCCTTAAAAGATCTGGCCAAAGTCCCATCGGTGAGCTCCTCCGGCAGGCAAGGCTGCGTTGGCTGGGTCATGTAGCCCGCATGCCCAGCTACCGCATGCCTAAACGACTTTTGTTCGGCCGGATAGAGGGGGCTAAACGGGCGCGGCACGGGCTAGAGAAGAGATGGAGTGATGTGGTACAGGAGGACGTGGAGTTGAGTGGACTTGCCGATGACTGGTACCAGCGGTGTCAAGATCGGCCTCTGTGGAGGAGGCTCGTGACGGACGCTACTGGGCAGTTGGAGGCAGTCGCCCTCCAACAACAACGGAGGGCGGAGGAGCGACGCTCACAACAAAGAGCGGAGCGCCGGGTGGCTAAAGCACAGCGAGTTGGTACAGTAGGGGGCACAGGTGGTGCATCAGCCAGTCATCTCGGTCATCTCGGTCAGTCGACCCGTGGCACCTGCTGGGTCTGCCCCGTGACCTCCTGCCAGCGGGCGTTCGACACTTCACGTAGCCTCAAGGTGCACTTGGCCTGGCACAAGCGTCGTGGTGACGTCACCGCCACTTAGGTGGCGAATGGCGGTTGTTGTTGTTGTTGTGTCTATATGTGTCTGTATGTATGTGTGTGTGTCGGTGTGTTGCGGCCAACACCAGTGACGATTATTTGAACCGGTCCCGGGCCTCCCCTAGGTCGACTCAGCCTAAAATGAGTACCTAGTGCGATGTGTAAACATCGCCGCTAGGGAGACAAAGGCGGCCGGGCGTGGTGTTGGCCACCCACCCCCTCGTGTGCCGTGCCGGCCTTCATAGGTGCTCGCTAACAGCACTTGCCCCTACAGTCTGTTAAGGCTATACGGGGGATCTTTGTGTCGGTGTGTGTGTGTCTGTGTGTCGGTGTGTGCGCCTCAGTGGGCACTCTAAAACGGGAGAGTGCCGCGCGCCGCCAGCACGTCAGAGGGGGGAGGTGGCGCAGCGATCCATTGAGCGGACCGCCGTCGGAAGGTCGCGACTTCAACTCCTGGCTGGGGAAGTTGACTCAGCCCATCATCATCCCGGGGTCAATAAAATGAGTACGACTTTGTGGGGTAGCCAGCAGCGGTTGCCCTATTAATAAACTCGTCCCCGCCATAGCAACGTGGAGTTTGCACCACTGGCTCAGGTGTAAATAGGACATGAGCACCATTGCATCAAAGCTCATTTGAGCAGAACATCGCTTTGACACACAAAGTGAAAGGGGCTGATATATAATAAAGACAAAGATGCCCCTTAGCCTTAACAGACTGCTAGGTACAAGTGCAAAAACGAGCACATCTCAAGTCTGGCAAGACAACCCAGTGCTGGCCAACGCCACGTCCGGCCGTCTTTGTCTTCACAGTTCTGATGTTTGCACACCACACCAGGTACTCATTTAAGGCAGAGTCGACGGTTCACATATATATGCCGTCACTAAAACCGGCCGCGAGCCCGATTCGGAGCGCAATGCAGCACTCCCCGCCGCCACGCGCAGGAGGACTCACACACCGCGGGGTGGGGGGGTCGTGCCTCCTCCAGGTGACCTCCTCTCATCGTCTACCTGCGGCGACAGGCGCGGCCTCTCACGCAAAGCAGCAGCAGCAGCAGCGAGGCAGAGACGCGCTGGGACCCGCACCGAGAGGAGCACGTTGGGCCGACGTGTCCTTGTTTACTGGGTGACGACGACAACGATGATGACGATGGTGTCGAGGAGGTGGTGGATGATGTGGCCGAGAACCCCCGCGGTCAGGCCGGGTGCCTCCCTGCCTGACCCTCTCCCTGCCTGACCCCCTTCCTGCCCGACCCCCTTCCTCGTCCCTCCGCCCGGGTCGCGCTCCCCGCGGGGCCCCTCACCGTAGTCCGAGTCCGCCATGGCCGCGTTCAGGCGCCGGGAGCGCGGCGGAGGTAGTCTGCGAGCTCCTGTGGCGAACAGCGCCGCGACCTGTGCCGGGCAGCGACGACTCGGAGAGCAGAGATTCCGGTTCTGCCGAGCCCTCCCACTCACCTGCACCCACACCCTCCCTCTCTCCCACTCAGCTGCACCCACACCCTCCCTCCCACTCACCTGCACCCACACCCTCCCACTCACCTGCACACACACCCTCCCTCCCACCCACTCAGCTGCACCCACACCCTCCCTCCCACTCACCTGCACCCACACCCTCCCACTCACCTGCACACACACCCTCCCTCCCACCCACTAACCTGCACACACACCCTCCCTCCCTCTCTACCCGGCCCCTTTCCTCCTCACTCCCTCCCTGACTCAGTCACCCTCTCACTGACTCACGAGAGTGAATGAGCAGAATGGATGAGTAGGCAGAGTGAATGTTTTAATAAAGTATGAATGAGGGGAATGTGAACACCTTGAATGTAAACGACACTGCTTGAGCCAGACAGACTCATCCATGAACGACTCTCCAGCCGCACCGACCTCCGTGTCACAGGGCAGGTGGCGAGCCGCACTGCGCCACACAGGGGCAGCTGCCGCTGGAGGTGCCCCATCACTCCCTCCCCCATCGCTCCCTCCCCCATCGCTCCCTCCCCCATCGCTCCCTCCCCAATCGCTCCCTCCCCCATCGCTCCCTCACCCATCACTCCCTCCCCCATCACTCCCTCC